GCCCAAAAAAGAGATGAAGGTGCATATTTCTCTTCTCTTCTGCTTGCTCTTTCTAGGTGTCTGGGATCACGTGGGGGCAAGTCATGATTTCTAAACTTTATCTTGAATTAAGACGTCTTTTTTAGCTGCCCCAAGTCACCACTCACTGTTCAACAAGAGAGAATCAGAATCAACCCCTACTCTGTGGGTTCAAGGAACAGAACCAACAGAAACGCGTGGGGGTGAGGGGAGCTGTTTGCTTGACGCAGAGGGTCTTCCTAGCACACTCTTTGGTACTTTGGAGCCAGTTCTAGTTGTCTCCAGATATTTCTAAATTGAACTCCAAGACTAAAGTGTTTTTGAGTAGGAAGCATAAATAATAAACGCTTTCATTCAAGCCATTCTCTCGTGCAGTCCTCGCCCCCACCCCACCCCGCCCTCCTGCCAGCCCCCAGCTCATGTTGTTAATTGGTTAGCTGGTTGGGTTAAATCGGTGGTTCTCAACTTCATCAGATCCAACATCTTATTTTATAACGAAAATGTTTAACTCCTTTTATAATCTTTAATTGAAATTCGTAAACTCTGTACAAAAATTTTCAAAAAATAAATAGAATTACTTCACAGTAATTAAAGAAATAATGAGAAAGTAATGGCATAATAACTATTTTAATGTGTAAATACTCTGGTAGCAGAATTAATAGACATTTGCACCTAATGTGTAAAGTAATGTGTAAAGTAATATGAGATGCACAACATATGTAGGATCGATGTAGACTGATACAGATGCTGTCATGGTGATTCAAAAGACCAGGAACAGCATTGCAGGCAATAATGATTTTCCCAAATTACGAACACATGGTAGAATTTATAAGTAATAATATATAGTCTTCCCTCAATTTATATGATAGTTGCGCACCTAGAAAATTCATCGCATATTAAAATAGTACAAGCTGCTTTGTGCTTATTTGTTAACGGAATTAGCAGCTGGGCGCAGATATTTATAAGCAGGTTTTCACCTAAGCAAATCTGCAAAAAGATGTTCAAAAATTGGCAAGGCCTGGGGAAGTATTTGTTGTACAGAGCTGTCGTGAGCACTGCTCAGTTCTAGCCTTCCTGGCCCTGCCTTCTAAATGCCAGTAATGTCCTCCAGTCATCACGTGATTCGAGAGCAACTGCCACAATTGTCCCTAACACCCTCTGTTGGCTGATACCCACCCCATACACACACACACACACACACACACACACACACACACACACACTGACGACCACTGGGTGAATGCCCCGTATTAGATTTAGCCCCAAATAATTATGTTGATTTATTCTCCTGACTTTTTGTAGTCCTCACAAGCCAAAAGCATGTCTACAGTGAAATTCTCAATCAGTAGGTTACTGGGGTATCCGCGGAGTATGTTCAGTGAGAGTGAGGGCTGGGTTCCTCCTCTGTGCCCAGCCTCCGATGCCCAGCACAAGTTCTGACTTTACTGAGTCTTGCTTGAATGAGTAAGTAATTTGGGAACTGGGCATCTGGATTAGGGAACAGATATATACTATTTGAAAGAAATAGTTTCACTGGTTTCTAATACATGTGATAACACCAAGATGCTCTCTAGAGAGACTTGTAGTTAAGGATTATTTTTAAAATACCATTTCAGTCGTGTCTGCTTGAACAATGAGTGACATTAAAATGTTTAAAAACATCTGGAACCAGACAAAGACCCAGAATCTTCATGTCATTCTGAGTAAGGAACGGGAACACGCTGAGGACCATGTGTGAGCAATGGCCTTGGCTTAAAATTTTTGCTTAATTTTCACAGTGCTCCGTGAGGCAACTCTTACGAACCCTATTTTCACAAGTGATGAAATTACGCTCGACAGTACAAATAATCTGCCCGGAGTTGGGCAGTTGGTTCAACAAGGTTTGAGCCCAAACCATCTGATTCCAAAAGCTTCATCTTTCCCAAGAAATCATGCCGTCCCTCCCTCTTCAGTGAGGGAGTTACTGTTTCATCTACATCTGAAGGGCTATGAATTATGGCGATGTGAGGTCCGCCTTAATATACTTTTACTCTATATGTAGTTCCAATTATTATGTCTATGAAATTCCACTTTCCTGGTGGTTCAGTGATTTTTACATTCATCCTGTTCTTGGTTAGGTTCCAGCGTTCAAGGCCCTGAGTAAACTCACATTTGCGAGATTCTTGAGGACAGGACCTAGGTCCTCGTTGTCTTTGGGTCTCCAGAACCAAGCACAGTGCCTGGCACAAAGCGGATGTTCAGGGAGTGTCGGTTGAGTTGCCTTTAATTGAATGATGTTTCTCCTTTCAGGCCTTGGCCTTACACGATATTTCAGCGAGGTTTTGACCTGGTTTTGGGAGAACAGCCTTCTGATAAAATATTCAGGTAAGTGGTTGTCTAGGGGCTCGCTTATGTGTGTCTGCAAGCCCCATGTCCCAAGTGCCAGTGAACTTCCTTTCCTAGCGATAAGGTCAAAGGGCAAATACTTTCTTGGTTTGCTCACCTAGTAACAAAAGCACTTGCCCTCCAGTGATAAGGTCAAAGGGCAAATACTTTGCTCACCTAGTAACAAAAGCACTTGCCCTCCAGTCACCCAGTGGTAGCGTGGAGGACTTTGGGATCACACAGATTCCATTTGGGTCCTGGCTTCCTTCCTTGTCTGCTCTGTGAACCCCAGTGATGGACTAACCTCTTGGAGCCTCCGGGTTCCACATGTGTTAAATGGGGCTACATTCCATGCCCAGCTCTATCGCCGTGAGGAATGTACGAGATAATGCAGGAAGAGCCTCTGGCACAGACATTGGCACGGAGCAGGCAATTAATGTCACTTTCTGCCTCTCCATTGTGCATCTAATTTGTACCTTCTTAAGTTGTTCAAAAGGATTCTCTCCCGCCCCTGCCTCCCCCTTTTCTCGGCTCTACTTCGTTATTAGTATTAGTTTTTTAATCTACCGCTCTCCTGATCAAATTGGATGTTTCTAGTCCCTCCCAAATTTCTACCTACAAACCTGGGAATAGCACATATTAGAAAAATCAGCAAGCAGAGGAAGGATTTGGGGCCCAGCCATGAACTACTGGATTTTCATAAAGTTTATGAAAATAAACTGGAACACACGTTTATTTCCAAACTAAGATCTTATCATCCTCTTATTTTGTCAAACTGTCCTTCACTTAGCCTGCGTTAGCTGAGTTCCTACTAAGTGCCAGAGACTGTGCTTGGCCTGGCAGCGTGGACATGACACGAGGGCGCCCTCTGGTGGGGGACGGAAATCGTCCTGCGGGAGTATCCGATAGCAAAGAACACTCTGCGTTACTGCATATTATATATAACAGGAGGAATGGTGAGCAGTGTGGGGCACATGGAAAACTCGTACACCAAGGCTCAGAATAATTTTATTTGTAAGAGTCAAAACCTGGAAACAACACAAATGGCCATCAAGAGGTGAACTGTAGTGTATCTGAGCAATAAAAAGAAATAAACTACTGATAGACACACACACAGAAAAGAAAGAAAACATGCTTTGTTTTCACTGCACTCATAGTGTGCTGAGTCTCACAAATCCACGCTGCCTTTCCAAACCCCTTTCGCAGACCCTCCTGCCAGCCAGTCCTGGTCTCCGTGTCAATTTTGCTTCTGCATCGGCTCCTGGACCTGGCTTCTCTGCCCCTCCCTGCTTGCGGGGGATGGACTGGGCTTGGCCACTGCAGTGTTCTCCGCAGGCATGTGGCTCCTGGACCTGGCTTCTCTGCCCCAGCTTCTCTGCCCCTCCCTGCTTGCGGGGGATGGCCTGGGCTTGGCCACTGCAGTGTTCTCCGCAGGCATGCTCTCAGCAAGGGTGCAGATCCACAGAACCGCTTCCTCGCGGGGCCTTCCCTTGCCCTCTCTCTCCTGATCGTTTCTCCCCGGAGCCGGCCGAGTCACGTTGATGGCATTGGCCGGAGGCTGCTTTTGAGGATTTGTGCTACAAGAGATGTCAGCTATCTTCCTTACACTGTGACTTGGGCATTTAAACTTTCCAGCAATGCTTTATCATTCGGTTGGCTTTTTTTCTCCCTTTTTTTTACTGCTGGTCTGCGGGGACTTTCGAAGGCAGGTGGAGAGTCCAGCAGAGTTAAGCTGGTGAAGGTGGAGAAGTTGCATCTCCCCTAAAAGTCAGAAACCAACACTTTGAAAAACAAGGGCTTTTATGAAATTTCTATGAGAGCAGAGCGGGCACAAAAACCGCGTCTCCGTCCCCACAAGCGCCATTTACTCTTTTCGAGTTTGCTACCTGCCAACTGGATGTGACACCCACGCACAACAGAGAAGATCAGTTGTGTGTTTTGACCAATGCAGTCGACTGTCTCCGGGGCCCATGTGTTAACCGATTAGTGAGTGATCATTTTGGTCCCTAACACGACGATAAGTAATCTTTCAGGTGAGAGTAATGGGTCATGATCTCCTGATGTCAGGTATTAAGAACTTTAATCAAAACCTCTCTGAGATCGGAGCAAACCAACTGCCAATGGCCACTCTGGAAAATACTATGACCTGGTCAGTGACTGTGATTTCTTAGAGAAGCCGGTGACCATTTACTTGCTACTCTGCTCACCAGCGATTAAGTGTCTCAATGAATTCCAAGCCACTGAACAATTCCCTGGACTATGGAATCAAATTTAAACTTTGACATTCGCATCTTTCCACGATTGAATGCCAATGTGCAACTGCCTTTTAATAAGCTGTTCTTCTCCTGGAGAACCCTCCACTCTTCATCAAATCTATCTTCTAACTCACCCACTGCCCCCCAAACTTGAATATTTTTCATTTTGCACATTTGCCCATACTCTTTCCTCTAGCAAGAATGCATAGTCACTTCCTGATATAAACACTACCCATTTTCATGGTTGAGACCAAGTCTCAGCTAAACTCAGGGTCTATTGAGCACCTGCTATCACAAGACACTGTCTTAAATGCTGAAGATGCGACCAAACGGATATGACTGACGCAGTCCCCGACTCCAGGGAATTTGCGGTCTCATCCAAGAATTGTTCTCTACAAGACACTGTCTTAAATGCTGAAGATGCGACCAGGGAATTTGCGGTCTCATCCAAGAATTGTTCTCCAACCTGGCCCTCCGTGAGAAGCCCTCGTGTGCTTCAGAAATGACCAGTGATCTTACCCAGCACCAGCCAATTCATTCGAAAGTTCTGGGAGGTGGGGCCAGGGCATAAGTGTGTTTTAAAAGCACCGTAGTCATTCTAACCTGCACCCGGGAGGGAGAAACACTGCTCCACAGTGAGTGTCTCTAGTCCACGATGACTTTTCCTCCTTTAAATTCTATAACATGCTGACTGTAATATTTATTTGTCCATTATTTTATTTCACATTTATTTTTAATGTTCCTACTTTTTCCCAGTGACGTGGTTCTCTTCTTGAGGGAAGGAGTACTGCCCCCTATGACTTTAACTAGTTGATGTCTAACATAAAGTTCTGAACACAGTAGGGCGTCAGCAAACTTCTGGAGATGATCATTGTAGGTGTCTTCTAAGGACTTGAAACCATGTTATGAAAAGGCCTGATACTCAGCCTAGCCTTGGTAATCTGTAATCCCAAAGAACCTGGGAAGGGTCCAAGCTAGACTCAGAGGGTCTCAGGGGAGAAGACTGAGCCTTCCCACCAAACTCAGTGCCATCATGGCTCAGATCACTCCACTCCACTTGACCCCCTGGTGGCAGGAAATACTGCAGACCAAACTGGTCTCTCAGAGCCCTGCCTCTCAAGTGTGTACCTGTGTCCTGGGGAACAGTAGCTCCTCGAATGACCTGCTCTGGGAAGGAGTGGAGATGCCAGGCCA